GTGAGAAACAGGATCAGAGAACAGGCTTGGAGAAGTGGCCCAAGTAGATTTAGGAAGATCTAAGTTGCCCAGTCTCTGAATGACTTTTAGAGATCCCAATCTGAAAGACAATACTCAAGAGCTGAGGAAAATCATTAAGCTTCCCACGGCAAATCTCAGAAAAGGATCCTATACAATAGATGGTATAGGAAACTTTTGTCAGAGGTATTCTAAGTGTAGGAAATATTCTATAGTTTTTGTGAGTCTCTTTCTAAAAAAGGGATTTTTTCCAAATATCAGTGATCTGGGAATTGACATATTTCTTTGTTAAAAACACACACACAGAGCATAAACAGGACATGAAAATCTTGATGAGACTCTGTGTTTCTTCCTAAGACACAAAATCAGCTTGAGTCAAGTGTCTAGAACAGGGTAAGAGTTTCCCAAAACAGGTATTTTCCAATAACAAGAAGGCAGAGGTAGGAGAAGCAACCTATGGCTTCTACAAATATTTCTCACATTTGTTCAGTTCCAGATGAAAAAGTTGTCAGGTGCTGTGGAGATACAGACCTACCACACCAACGGTTTATATATAATATGGAACTTGATAGGGCCCAGGACCTCTTCTGAATGGCAGAAGTAAAATGATAAAAACTTGCTTTTTTAAGAGTGAAATTTTCACAAAAAGTGACAGAAAACATTATCATCAACACCCAGGTCTCTCCTGACTGTAATAGCAATGTTGATTGCTTTGGAACATGGTGAAGAAAACCTGGGGAATAGGAAGTTTTAACTGCAGTAAGATAAAGGGATGGAGAAAAATTCCCTATAATTGCTTTTTATCTTCTCTACTGTAATTTTATATAGAATTGTTTTAGAAAAAAAAGTTCTTAGAACTGGTGGAGGTTTCAGAATAGATTTTTAAATTTAAGCTATTTGTCTGTATCTTAAGTATGTCAAAATTAATAACATTAGAAAGGTAGAAGACTTACTTCAAAGAAAGTGGCAAATATTTTATTTCCTTGCACAGGAAATAAAGACAGAACTAAAAGCAAGTTCCCTTGCATTCCTCCTCAGGTTTATCCCATACAAAATTATAAAGAGTTTTGATGAAGGCTTTGATCTGTAGCAGTGCTAAACAGATTCCCTAAAAACAAGTTTCTGAATCCACTGAAAGAGATGATGAACCAAAAAAGTATCAGAAGCTCTGAGGGCCATGCCACTGCCGATTTCATGTTGCTACAAAATTTGCCACTTGAAAACAAACGCTTAACAAATATGAACTGCTGTATCGAAACCTCAAATATCCATAACAAAACACTCCACTGTAACTCTATCAGTTTTAAAAAGCCAGAAAATGACCAGCTAAGTGAAGGAACCACCTTTTCTCCTGTCAGCTCTTTCCAAAACATGGTAAGTTGCTTACTTATTTGTTGTCTCCAAAGTATCCATGGTATTTTAAAGTCATGGTCTCAATGCAAGGGTACAAATCTATGATTTCATTTAAATTCAGGATAACATTCAGTAAAAATTTAAAAATGCTACTATTTTTCATTTCCTACAATTTAAAATGAAGATACATTTTTGCCCAAACTGTATTGCACTTCCTAGTTCCTCATCAGTTTAATCACATTTTCCATGATTTTCAGTGATATAGTCACAAAATTTCACTATTCTAGCTAATGGTGTTGCTCATTTCAATAAAGTTATTTGATTAGGAATAAATTGTCAAAATCTAAGTAAAAGGGAGATAATCCTGTCTATCTTTATTTTTTCAAATCAACTTCATTTTTATCAGCCTTAATTGACTCTGTTTTCTCAAAGAAATCTCTACCTCATAGTCACATTTTGACTGAAAATTAGTGACAGATATGCAGGAAATCTTTTAAATTGTACCTTTGTTTCTTAATGAAAAAACATCCAGAAGTTGGAAAAAATTCACACTATTTTTCAGTTTTAAAACATCAACTGTTTCCTTCTCAGATATGATCTAATTCTTTTAATCCCAACTTAAATTATTCCTTTCTGGCACAGTGGGGTCTCCATTTTGTAAAAGTACTTTATATACCTGACTAATGAAGGACTGAGACATTCATGAGTCATTCCCATGTTCATTGTGGGAAGAAGCACAGTGACCTGTAAACTCTGAAGTGGTATTAATATCATAGAACCATAGAATGGTTTGGGATGGAATGGACCTTAAAACTCATCTAATCCAACACCCCTGCCATGGGCAGGAACATCTTCAACTTGACTGGGTTGCTCAGAACACCAGTCCATCACCTCTCTCACCAACCTGTCCCAGCATTTTGCCTCCCACATGGTAAAAACCTTCTCTCATATCTACAATAAACCAACCTTCCCTTCAGTTGAAAACCATATTCCCCTCTTCCTATTGCAGCAGGCCCTGCTAAAAATGTTTTCCCTTATCTTCCTTGGACCCCTTTAGGTACTGGAAGGCTTCTCTAAGTTCTTCCCAGAGTCTTCTCTTGGGATTACTCAGCCTGGAGAATTGTCTCAGCCTTTCCTCATAGGAGAGGTGCTCTGATTCTTCTGATCATCTTGGTGGCCTCCTCTGGACTCACTCCAAGGTCTGTGTCCTTCCAGTGCTGAGGACCCCAGAGCTGGATGCAGCACTGCAGGTGGGGCCACACAAGTGGAACAGAAGGAGGTGTAGTGTAAGTTCCTTTTGTGCATATTTAATGGTACAACACTAAACCAGTCAGGATCCACCACCATTAATAGCACCAGTAGACTGCTGTATGGTTGTCCCAATTATTCAACTCCATGTGCAGTCCCAGCTTTTCCCTGCAATCTTAATCTTTATCAAAAAATGTAACAAGATTTCTACAGGGGACACACTAAAATATGTTTCTAACTCATTACAGACTTGATGCTTTGAATACATCTCATTTTCCAAAGCCATGTTTTTTCACTTGGGTCAACAAACCACCAACAGTCACCAAGTATCTATAGCTTTGTCAAGGAACATTTTCTATTGAACTTGACATTCTATGGTTACAAAATACAGAATAGGCCTCCTAAGAAATACTGTAATTCAGACCTTCTACACTAACACTGGAAAATGAAGGATAAAAAATAATATTAAGGTTTCACTAGGTGTGTCAATCTATTGGTAAATGCTGTAGCATACAAAAAAAAAAATACTGTTTATATTGAAAGTACCTATTTTGACAGTATCTGCATTCAATACACCAGGGCTTTTAACCTTACAGTTAGTACTAAAATATAAAGAAAAATACCACGGCTGTTCTTTCTTCACAATGTCTATAGTTGAGAAAAAGTTGAATATATTCATTGTTTTTCCTGCCTTCATAATTTCTAAAACATCTATTTCAAAATCAGCAGAAACAAACATTACATACAGCAACTTGAGCCACTGTCCTTATTCATGGAAAAAAATACAATTAGTTGATTAGCTAGGGAAATTCCTGTCCCTTTCCTCCTTAACACATGTACATGGTAAATCTAGATAATAACATAACCTTATTACTGTGACCTCCTTCACATATTTGTTTTTTTTATTTTAAGTGACTCTAGTATTTGACATGGCTCCAACATAGATGATATTGCAGACATCAGTTGTTGGAATGACTGTGGGAATAAATACTGTTAGCATGCATCAATTACTTGCAAGATTTTACAGAAATGCCACATTCTTCAAGAAGAAAATTTCCTTTTTTCATCTGCTTTTTGTATTCAACAGCTACCTCTTTATTTTACAAACTGCTGGTACCTCACAGCTTTTGAACTTTCACAGCCTTTTAACTGTGAAAATCTCTGATGGTGTAAGCCAAAAGAAAGCTGTACCCTCTAACAGACTGGGGCACCGGTAGATGGCCCACCTCAAATCTTTGGTAGTGGGCAGGTGACATATGTCCAAAATGGTAACAACAGCACATGGCTTACAACTGCTGTGTTAACCATATGTGCAAGTCAAATCTGAGCCTTGACTCTTGTATCAGGGAGAAAAAATTGCATTTTATTATAGAAAAAGCCATTCTCTGTATACATTAGCTAAAAGTATACGAATGTTAAAGAATTTCTTTACTCCATCTCATACAGGAACGTATTTGCCAAGCATTACAGAGCAAATTGCTTTTGAATTTTAGTTCTTTAGAGTACAGCAGAAATTTTGATGGAAGAACAATTTACACTAGCTCATGTAGTTTTCTCAAATCTGTTATTTAAAAAAAATTACACTAATTTGGTAAAATATTGGAATATACCCAGGATTATTCCCAAATTCACATTTATACTACCATTTTAAACCTTGCTAAAATAAAAGACTAAAATATTTACTGTATGTGTAATATTATCAAGACAAACAGCATGTCAGTGACATGCATAACATTTAACAATATTTCAACATTATACTGAATACAATATGTGAACTATATTTTAGGAAAGCCTACAAACCAGTTTAGAAAATACTTTATATTAGTGGATAACTCTATGACATTGCTGGCATATTCCCAAACGTTTCAGATAGACATATTTTCTCAGTATTTACTGGTATCTAATTGTATTGTCATTGACAATCACAGCTGAACTACCATGCCAAAAAAAAATTACAACCTAAAGTGTTGAGAGCATACATATCAGTGATACAGAGTGGAAAAATCATTATGATCACTTTATGCCACTTCTACAAGAATACAAATGAATCTTATCAAAGAAACACCTATGACACAGATGACATTTAACTTTTTAAAGCTGTGCACATATATTGCAAAAGCAAAAGGAAAGGCAGGGGCATGCTCACAAAAGCTGCAGACAGAGAGGAATATCATGCATACTGGTCACAACAACTCACAGGTTATTAGTAAGCTATTTGAAAAACAGTTAAGCCTTTTATGCCAAGCATTGCTTTCATTTTAATAACAGTAATTCCCCTTGCCTTCAGTAGGAATTACACCTGTGTAAATGAGAGCAAATGTAGGGCAGGAAATAAGTCTACCATAAAAGAAAAGAACTTTAAACAGAAAAAAGGCTCTAACCACTTTGTCCTCCTGGAGTTCATATCCACGAAAGCAAGAAAGAAAGAACAAGGGGAAAAAAAACAAAAAAACACAAATAAGGAAAGAGTCACTTCCATTTTGAAAGCAAGTACTAGAATTTTTTAGTAAGATAAACAAATAAATATCAAAGGAAGTAATATATATCTTTCTTATTTTCCCTAGTGGTGAAGAAGATATACTGAAAAATAAGTAATTTTAATAGTTTTCATGATCCTTCCAAGAGTAAAATTTAGACTATCTTGCAATAAAATTTTATAAAAAATGCTCAAAGGGAATTATTTTCATAAAAATAATTTGGGAGTCAGCCTGAATTATCTTCACAAAAGAAAATGGGTCATCTACAAAAGAATGAAGCGTTTAGCTCATACCTTGGACCCCAGTACTGCAACTGATTAGCATTCATCAATCCTTTGCACTTGAAAAGAGTTCAGTGAAATTTAGAATGTTTGTTTACTACAGACAAACAGAAGGTCTTCAAATGGCAAAATTTCATGTTAGCCATTCAAGAAATCTTAAAAATCCTGGAGTTATAAAGCACAAGGAGACAGTTTGTCACAAGCATTTACTGCATGTCATTCCAGGTCTATAACACACCTACTTTCTTTTTCATACACATCAATATTAAATACAAACATTTCTATAGATTATTTCCTTTAAATAAATTGTCTTTTTAGCTGTCTAAAATTGTAAATGGAATAATACTTTAGAAAAAATATTCAAAACATTTTCAGTCAAAAATATTCTCTATTTTAATGAATGAAGAATGATGATTTTTATCTGGTATTTTAATTTCACATGCCAATACAGAGACTAAATTTAGGCACTTGGTTAAGCATTGGCTGCACTGGGAATACAACAGCTTACCAAAAAGGGGTGACAATTAATTTTACAGATTCGTTGTTCTGATTCCTGTATGACATAACTTTATAACAAGTAACTCTTATAGAAGGCTTAGGCTCCCTCCAATCCTAAAGTTACAAATAGGAGGGAACACAACAGAGGCCGAACAAGACATTCAGGCAATAAAACACACAATATACAAGGAGAAGCTGAGGGAGATAGGCTTGTTTAGTCTAAAGAGGGCTTGGATAGGGAAGGATGTGAGAAGATGGGAAGTACTTGCATCCCTCAGCTATTTGAGGTTTAGCTATAGGAAACACAAAGACAGAATTTTCTTGAAGACGCACAGGTAATAAACAAAATGCAACAATTAAGGGATTGTTTTGCATGTAAGGAAAAAAGAAAATCACAAGAGCTTTTAATCACTGAAAGAGGTTGTCCAGTGCAGTTAGGGATTCTCTCTCCTAGGAGGTTTTTACAATTCAGTTGAACAAGTTGAACAAAAACCTCATCTGACTTTGAAGTTAATCCTGCATGGAGATTGGTCTGGGAAAACCTCCATGGGTCCATCTGACCCAATTTATTCTATGATTCTATGTTCAGTGGCAAAAGATTAAAGTATTTTAAAGATACTATGGGTTTTAGTGGTATTCTCAGTTTTACAAATAGTAAATAGCATGGAAAGCTATCTAAATCACTGGACATCCAAGCATTGTCACTCTGTGTGCAGAGACATATTTTCTCCTCAGTACCAAGTGGTCTCATACTTTCTTAGCATGGTTTCCTGTTCCACTGCAATAAGAAAGTAGTGTTCAGAGAAATTTTGTACAGAAACATCTAGAGCCTTAATTTCTCATCCTTACCTCTGAAGAAATACACTCTACTATCCAAGAGGATTGTACTCCATAAGCATAATTCAAAATCCTGTCATTCATACTTTGACCATAACAATAACCAATACTTGATTCACACAATCAACCTATTTTGAATAATGTCCAGGATGAAGAATCTCTTTCCAGAAACAAGCTACAAAATATAAGATATGTGAAGTTCAAGACAGGCAGTCACACTTTACCAAACACCTGAGACTGCTTCCAGCCTCTCAGCTTCCTGTTCACACATTGCCAAATATTCTTGAGTTCATAGCAACACACTGCAAGCAATGACATGACTGAGGAAAGACAGCCTAGTCAGGCTTTTCAATAGCAAGGACATTAGAGAAATCATTCAATTCAGTTTTCAACGGACAGTGGTATTTGTCCTGTTCAACATGAAAATGCAGGTATATTTTAACAGTGGTGTAAGAAGAAAGGCCTTATCTCCATAAATATTCAGACACACAGAAATGTTAGCAAAATTAGTGGAATTCCATCCTATGCTCAAAATAAAATTAGAATGAGTCAGTATTTATTCCTTATCCTTTTTTAAAAAGGTCAGTCTGGAAATCTGGCTCTGACTGCATGAGCCAAAGCTACTCTTCAAGACTGTATTTTTCTCACTTCAATTGCATAAAATTATAAATCTGGGTAAAATTGTGAGTTCTTCATTGTATCAGGATCATAACAACTTCTAAGGTTTATTAAAGCTTAAAAGCAGTGAAGAGTTCAAACATGTAGCCTCTTGAAATTGAGACCATCATTTGCTCTTTACTGAGATCAAAAGAGCTATCAAATGTAAATAGTTTCAAATAAATAAAATTAATAACAGAAATAGTTTGTACAGTTGTCATTTGAAGGGACTGATCATATCAAATAGCTTGTATTAAATTCACAATCAAGTTTTTTAACTGTAAAGAGAATCTAAATATTCAATACAGAAATGCTGATTCCGAATATCAGTTCTGCTAGGTATTAGTTTTCAAATAAAGTTTACAGACTAGAAAGGAGCAATATCTCCTGGTTCAAAATGGTTGTTGTGCAAGGTTTTTACTCTTAGCATTAAATGCAACAGCTTGAAGAAGTGTTTTGCTGAAGGGTTATGCTGGGACAGCACTACTTCTCTACAGCCCCAGCAGAAGAAGGGAGAGTAGCTCAGCCAGGGCCAGGAGAAGGCAGAAAGGGTGGCATGAGGCAGGTCATGGTGCCACCTGCACACCTGTGTCCCACAGCATGCACCCAAGGAGAGCCCAAGGATAGGGCCCAGGTCCCCAGCAAGGTGATGAGGTAGAGCTGAGGCAATCCAGGAAGCCAAGCCTATGCATTAGGCTCAGCAAGGGAACCATCCAGGCAACTGCATGGCTGAGGCAGGGACCAAGGCTGAGCACTGAGCAGCTCCCAGCCAAAGGACTGGAGCTTATTGCAGATCATCCTCACACAGCTCTTTCCCCAAGGCTGATCCCAGGTTAAAACTGCACCACATCAGAGGAGCCAAACTCCACCAGGAAAGGAGTGGGGAAAGCTGCTAAGGACCATTAAACACACTAGCTGAACTGTAGTCCTGGTAAGTTCAGGTATAACTTTCAAAAGAATAAAGAAGTTGATCACCTCAGATAAAATGGTTGGGGGGGGGGGGGGGG